GTACAATGAAATTTTCATTTAAATTAACAAGAAAAGAATATTGTTGGGGGATAAAAAAAAACGATAATTAAATTCATTTGTAGAACAAAAGAAAAAAAATTGTATTAAAATAAACAATAACAACAAAAAAATTAACACAGCTAACAAATGGAAAAAAAGAAGAGGAAAAAAACATTGTTTTACTGCTGTCTAGTTATTTGTTGTTGCTGCTGCTGGCTGTGCTTGCTGGCTGTTCAGGCAATCTATACGTGATCGTCACGCATTTGTGTAGTGATCAACAGAGAGTTTTTACCAACAACCAACAATCCACTTTCTGTCTGTGGTGCTATGGTAGTTTCACTCTGCCTTTACCAGTCCAGTCCATAGTAGGTATCTACTCATCATGTTATTTCTGTTTGTTTTCTCCCCTTTATCCAATTTACATTTGTATATGGTGGAGATACACTCATTCATACACATCTACATAATAGTCAAACATACGATTTTTGTTTACAACTCAGTTTTTTTAAAACAAATTTGACAGAATGCATAACAACAATACAACAAGAAAAAATGCAAAATAATTGTATTTATGTTTGTATGTATGATCTCCAATTGGAGATCGACCATGACTAATAACTATAGGCTAAATATTTGTAAAATCCACAAATGCATTTTCTATATATATAAATAGGTACTTGTTTGTATGGATGTATATTTAAATTTTGCATAAATAAAACCAGTTTTTGCGGTTAAAATACGCATTTTATTAGTTTGTTTTGAAAATATATTCTACAACAACACTCGTCTTTCTCAAGCTCTCTGTTATATGAATGAGTGTTTTTTTTTGTGTGGTTTCGATAATATCAAACTTATTTACAATTTGAGTTGTACTCCAAAAGTAATAGACTCTCAGACTAGTACTTGGCATAAAATACAGCCAAAGAAAAATTAATGTTAAAATTTGTAACGTTAGTTTTTGTCGCTATTGTTGACTATAGGTATTTTTAAACAGTTTTAAACCTTGTTGTATAAACAAGTATTTATTTACAGTTTCTTTGTTCGTAAATGAAATCTGAACTTCAGCATGACGGGTTTTTGTTAACAGTTACTTAATTATAAATTAATTTATAATTAGTACCTGTTAACTTAAATAATTAATTTATAATTAAGTAACTGTTAACAAAAACCCGTCATGCTGAAGTTCAGATTTCATTTACGAACAAAGAAACTGTAAATAAATACTTGTTTATACAACAAAGGTTTAAAACTGTTTAAAAATCCTATAGTCAACAATAGCGACAAAAACTAACGTTACAAATTTTAACATTAATTTTTCTTTGGCTGTATTTTATGCCAAGTACTAGTCTGAGAGTCTATTACTTTTGGAGTACAACTCAAATTGTAAATAAGTTTGATATTATCGAAACCACACAAAAAAAACACTCATTCATATAACAGAGAGCTTGAGAAAGACGAGTGTTGTTGTAGAATATATTTTCAAAACAAACTAATAAATGCGTATTTTAACCGCAAAACTGGTTTTATTTATGCAAAATTTAAATATACATCCATACAAACAAGTACCTATTTATATATATAGAAAATGCATTTGTGGATTTTACAAATATTTAGCCTATAGTTATTAGTCATGGTCGATCTCCAATTGGAGATCATACATACAAACATAAATACAATTATTTTGCATTTTTTCTTGTTGTATTGTTGTTATGCATTCTGTCAAATTTGTTGTTTTTAAACAAACTGAGTTGTAAACAAAAATCGTATGTTTGACTATTATGTAGATGTGTATGAATGAGTGTATCTCCACCATATACAAATGTAAATTGGATAAAGGGGAGAAAACAAACAGAAATAACGATGAGTAGATACCTACTATGGACTGGACTGGTAAAGGCAGAGTGAAACTACCATAGCACCACAGACAGAAAGTGGATTGTTGGTTGTTGGTAAAAACTCTCTGTTGATCACTACACAAATGCGTGACGATCACGTATAGATTGCCTGAACAGCCAGCAAGCACAGCCAGCAGCAACAACAAATAACTAGACAGCAGTAAAACAATGTTTTTTTCCTCTTCTTTTTTTCCATTTGTTAGCTGTGTTAATTTTTTTGTTGTTATTGTTTATTTTAATACAATTTTTTTCTTTTGTTCTACAAATGAATTTAATTATCGTTGTTTTTTTATCCCCCAACAATATTCTTTTCTTGTTAATTTAAATGAAAATTTTCATTGTACTTGAGGAAAATTAAAAAAAAAATAATATTTTCTTGGTAAACAATAATTGTTTTGAATTTATTTTTGTATACAATACTTTTTTCGATTTTCGCTATTCTCAATTCGAGCATATTCTTTAAAAGTCGCCGGCTTTTTTTTTAATACCGGATTATTATACTTTTTTGTTATAAAATGTTGACGTTTAAAGTTTGAGCGTAAATTGAAATGTATTTTGTTGGCGTGTGGTTATCGTCATTTTAGTTTGGAGCTTATGTTGTACGTGATCTCTACTATATTATGGACCAAATTGGGCGTGAGGGGCTGGTTTTTGTTTATTTTGTAAACACATGAACACATACAGATACGATCATAATTATGTATAATTCGGAAATGGAAAGTTTAGTAATTTTGTACTTATAAAGTACTACAGTAAAATGTTTATTATTAAACGGTCTGGGGGTTCTGAAGAAACGTTGCGAAAGATCAAATGAAGTAATGCAAAACAACAATTCTACTAAAGTACAGTCCATAGTCAAGACTATTATAGAACAGTCTATAGTCTAGACTATAGAACAGTCCATAGTCAAGACTATAGATCAGTCTATAATTAAGACTAAAGATCAGTCTATAGTCAAGACTATAGATCAGTCTATGGTCAAGACTATAGATCAGTCTATAGTCAAGACTATAGAACAGTCTATAGTTAAGACTATAGAACAGTCTATAGTCAAGACTATAGAACAGTCTATGTATAATCCTGACTATAGAACAGTCTATAATTTTGACTATAGAGCAGTCTATATATAGTCTTCGTGATCAAACTAAAGTCTTGGCGATAGATGAATCTATAGTCAAGACTATAGAAATAAAGTCTAAACTCTTGGCTGTAGAATAGTCTATAATCGTGACTACAGATCAGTACACAGACTCTAATATACACACCCTCGTCTATAGTCATAACTATAGATCAGTCTACAGTCTTAACTATAGATCACTCTATTGTCTTGACTATAGTCTTACTTTTTCATAGAAAAATTCAACTTGACTATGGATCGATGGTGGCAATTTTGAACAAAAATCACTCATAAAAAAGAATGTGGAACGCAAAATTACCATCCCTGGTCTGTAAACATTAAATTTCAATTGTCTCAAACTACATCATCATACAAACATACATACTTACGTACATACAGAATGTTTATTTTTATTTTAAATGGTAAATTATTTCTGTTTTCGAATGATTTGACATAATTTTAAAATTCAATAAGCGTGTATGTATTTTTAAAATTTTTATAGATGTTTACTAATTTTTTATGCATATTTTTTTTTAGCAAAAACCATAACAATAAAAATATCTATAATCGTAAACATAACATTCTACCAAAACCTTAAAAACAGAGTAAACAACTTCTGTTTTAAATGTTTTTTTATTATAAAAATTTTAAAACACAATTGAAATCTAAAGTTATAACCAGTTTGTTTATTTGACTGTTTAAGTAGCGACACGTGTTTGATGGTGTAAACCTACTACTAGTCAATAATATTTACAAAACTTATTAATAATTTTGTAGTAAACAACTGTTTTATTATTTAATTATTTAGTTTAGTAGTTATTGTGTTAATATTTACATGAATATGCATTGGAAATTTTTCATAATGGCTGTTTTGTTTTTCTAATTATTTCCTAATCATATCCTGGTTATTTGAGTTACTAGCACTAATTATGTATATGCGACTACATATAGCATATCTAATATATCCAATATCTAAGCATGTGCCATAAAATTGACAAAAACCCTACATGAGGACTCATGGAACAATCCTCCCTTTCCTTATTTCCATAGTTTTTGAATGATCGTATATGCCTTTATCTTCCTAGAATCTAAACAAGACCCATATCTATCTATCTATCTATCTATCTATCTATCTATCTATCTATCTATCTATCTATCTATCTATCTATCTATCTATCTATCTATCTATCTATCTATCTATCTATCTACCTATCTTCAAAATCAATTTTTATGGAAAATTATAATTGGCATCCCCAAGCCAAGATGAAATTAGTTTCTGGTAACATTGACAAATTTTCACTATTTGTTTATGTGGGACAAAAAATTACGCCCCCATTAAAGGTCAAATTGAAAGATCTAAAGAAAAAATATGTTTTCTTTGGAAAATGTTTATGTTTTAATGCACGTAGTCTAAATAGGTATTAGAACAAGTAAACAACATGAAACGTTTATTCTAAATTCTAAAATTGCAACGCAATTAAATAACATTTATTAATTTGAATAGAATCTTACTTATTGCTAAATAACGACAATTACGCATTTTCTGACAAAATTGTTTATCATAATTTGCAAATTGCAAACAATGATTTTCATTGTTTACACTTAATTTTAACTAAGATTTTATTGTGAGTGCATAATGTCGTTATATGTTTTGGAAAAATATTAGAAACAACAAGACCTTTTTAAAAAAACACACATGTTTACAACAATTCATGTTGTTTACTTAGTTTTTATTTTCGCGATCATACGGTCAACAAAATTTCACTCAATTTTACTCAAAGCAACCTTGTGGATACACGTTTGTAGGTAAATAAATAAATATGTATGCGTAAACAAAACAACAAAAAATACTCGTTTTTGTGGTTTTTGAGTGAGTGAGTGTTAACTCAAACGTAAATAATTCATATACACAGCTACATATATACATAGATATTGTTTGTTAAGAATCCAATATAATAATGCTGATCAAGACCATAAAAGTTTAGTCGTTCCACAACTATTAAAGCTAAAATTACAAACAAAAAGAAAACTCCTAAGAGTAAAACACAAAACAAACAAGTTAAAATAATAACATTGTAAAAGAAAAGAAAAACTCTCTTTAAAAGAAGAAAAGCAGTTAAACAAAATATTACAAAACTGTTTAAATTTAAAACTAAAAACATTTATTGCAAAAAAAGAAAAGAAAATTTTCAAGTATTTTAGAATTTGTTAAAAACAAACAAAACTTTGTGAAAATAATTGTGAATTGAGTTTCAAGTTTATAATTTATTTGAATTTCCTCCAAAATGCCGGTTGATATTTATACACAACAATTTGTGCCACCAAGGTATTTATTAACAAATAAATTTATTTAAAATAAATGATTAATAGAAATAAAAAAAATATCAAGAATGGAAAATTGATCTTAATAATATGTAAATGCAAAACACATAGATACATATTTAACACCATTTCCTTGATGATTTATGTATTACAATTCATTTTTTAAATTAGTGCAATATTAGTGACATTAATAGCGAATATTTTTTGAATGTTATTATTAAAGATTTTTAAAATTAAGATTGAGAATTAAAAATTTTCCGGAAAATGTAAATTTAGTGATTCTATTTTGAAATATTTGTTCATCATTATCATTCTTAAAGCTGTGATACACGGTTGTCAGATCTTACAACGTTGTCATTAAAATTTCTAACAATTGTGTAAACTTACAATTTTTCTTTTGCATCGTTGTCAGAAAAAGCAACATTACTGACAATGTTGCAAGACAAGATTTGACACTGTTGTTAGACATTTTCTGGACATTTTACTGCCAACGTTGTAAGATCTAACAACCGTATATAGGTACATAGCTTTAGTATTAATTCGTGATAATGTTTAGAAAACAAATGTTGTAAGGTAACATAACCTATTATCTAAAGAACAAATAATCTTCTTAGGAACAGTTTTGAACTAGTTCTTTTTTTATTGAATTTTGTTTGACAATGTCAAGATGCAGAATACCTAAAATACATTCATTACTTTTAGTATATAATTAGTGTCAAAGAACAGATTCGTAGAAAACTCTTAAGAAGTTCTTTAGCTATCTATCTATTATCTATCTATCTATCTATCTATCTATCTATCTATCTATCTATCTATCTATCTATCTACCTATCTATCTATCTATCTATCTATCTATCTATCTATCTATCTATCTATCTATCTATCTATCTATCTATCTATCTATCTATCTATCTATCTATCTATCTATCTATCTATCTATCTACCTATCTACTACTATCTATCTATCTATCTATCTATCTATCTATCTATCTATCTATCTATCTATCTATCTATCTATCTATCTATCTATCTATCTATCTATCTATCTATCTATCTATCTATCTATCTATCTATCTATCTATCTATCTATCTATCTATCTATCTATCTATCTATCTATCTATCTATCTATCTATCTATCTATCTATCTATCTATCTATCTATCTATCTATCTATCTATCTATCTATCTATCTATCTATCTATCTATCTATCTATCTATCTATCTATCTATCTATCTATCTATCTATCTATCTATCTATCTATCTATCTATCTATCTATCTATCTATCTATCTATCTAGCTATCTATCTATCTATCTATCTATCTATCTATCTATCTATCTATCTATCTATCTATCTATCTATCTATCTATCTATCTATCTATCTATCTATCTATCTATCTATCTATCTATCTATCTATCTATCTATCTATCTATCTATCTATCTATCTATCTATCTATCTATCTATCTATCTATCTAGCTATCTATCTATCTATCTATCTATCTATCTATCTATCTATCTATCTATCTATCTATCTACATATATCTACATATATCTATAGTTGAATTCAGAGATGGCAAATTCTATAATATTGAACTTTATACGTACATTTTGACAGCGAAAGCAAAAGTCCGTAGTCTATAAACCATAGACTTCTCTAGTCTAGTTCAAACATTTCTCAGCAGAATAGTCCACACACTACTCCATACACTAATACTCTCTAAATTTTTATTATTACTCAAACTTGCCAAGAAATGGTGTAGAAATTCATTGCGGTAAAATGTTGTTTACATTGGAAAAATTTCGTTTACAATCTAAATTCTAAATTAAAACATTGCCATTAGTCAATTACAAATAGAAATACAATAAAATTGAAATTACCATACAATTCAATGAATATTGTATAGTATTTTTATCTGTCTATATGCCAATTCGTTTAAATTGTTTACGGAAAATTTATATAGATTTTAAAATAGACATAGAAATTCTACTAAAATGTATTGTAATTTAGAATGTGGTTTTGTTGATAAAAACAATATTTAATTTAATAAAATATGTACATATGTGGTTTATATGAGTAAATAAAATTTATGTTTACAGACCTAGAAATATATTAAAACATTCAATATATTATTTTGATAAAAAATAAGTAAACAAAGTATTAAAAATAAATAAATTTAATTGTACTAAATAAGAAAACAATTCAAGTTACAGATTTAGTTAGTATTTTTAAAATAGAAATTCAAAAGAAAATTATTAAAATATTGTTTTTTAGTTATTGTTATAAAAAAGGTACCGTTTTTTGCCCTTGCAAAAGTGCTAACTTTCTCACTAGCTTCACAAAAACCACACATTAAAAATAATGTTATTGTAATTTTGCAATTATTAGCAAGTTTGCAAGGTTATAAAGAAAATTCTCAAAATTTTAAAAAATCTCAATTAAAGAGAAAAGTTAAATTAAAATTACATTAAATACTTGCTATAAAAAAAAAACTAAATTATTAATTAAACAAAAAATTGTTCAAATTTCAATTGCTGATCAAGTGCTTTAACAGTGACTGGCACTTTTAAAACATTTGCTCAGTTCGTGACCACAAAATACTTAAAAATTATATTTGGATAATTAGTTTCTATTCTATTCTCTTTCCAAACATTTCTTTAAAATTCTTTTTAGAACATTAAGTTTTTTTTTAATGATCTTGTTTTTTTTTTCAATTCTTTAAAAGAAAAGAAGACCAATGGCTCTTAAGCGTCTAACACAATTTTGTTAAATGATCATCAGTAATGTATTTCATGATTATGCATGTATATTTATTAATTAAAAGCAATGAAGAATGATCTTAAATATGATGTCAGATCACTTAAATAGTCATCGACTGTATAAAAAATAACGAAAAAAAGCAACAGCTAAAAAAAGAGCGAAAAAAAAAAACTTGAAATAATTGTTATTTGTTATTTTAAACAATTGCCAAATAATTGTTGTATGTAATTTATTTCTTTAGTGTAAAATTAAGACTAAAGTGGACTATACACCATTTGCTATATGAAACGAAAAATAAAAACTAAAGAAAAATTTCAGAAAAAAATAAACAAATTGAAAACTTTATCACAATACTGCCGCAATAAAAAGTAAATGACTCCCATACATTTAAAAAATGTACGTCTTTTCCAAGATTTACTTCTTTTAGTTTTATAGAATGAATTTCAGATATAATAAATGGAAATTAGAAATGGTGTACTGTCAAAGTTTCATTTTTTAAGTTGTCTGTTGCCTTGAATTGGCAGCAATAAAGTAATTTTCTTGAAATTAGTTCAGTAACGCGAGTCAAGTCGAACGAGTGGTTTACATTTTCTAAATATATACCAAAAAATAATATAACTTTTACGGTACGAGTAAATTAAATGGTTTTTAAAAAAATATTTCAATGAAATAAAAAAATGTGATGAAAACTTCTTGTGAATTTAAAAAAAAAAAAAGATTGAAAATTTAAATAAAACTGTTAATTAAAAACTTAGAAACTTAATGAACTGGACCCAAAATCAGAATTGTATAACGAATTGATCCCAATCTTGTTAATATACATAAAACAGTGGACAATTTCAAAGTAAAACATTTAAAAATTGGTTCTGTAAAACGATTTGATTTCAATACTGATAATGACAAATAATAAATGACATATTTCACTGCATGAATTCGTAGAATTGAAAAGATTTTCAAGAAAATTTTAATAATTAAACCAATTACTGCTAAAGCTTCAAACATTTGTAACAAAGAATTCAAAACTGATGTAATCTTTGGACAAAACATTTTAATAAATACTCAAACAAAAATTCTGATGAAATTGTTATTAACAAATTAATTTGTTATTTTTAAACTTTTTAAAACAAAGGTTTCAATAAATTGTCCTCGGGCTTTATAAAACAAAGGAATAATAAAACTTTTAAAATCTTAAATTTATAAGAATTTAATTTTGTGCTAAAAACTTGGCATCACTTTTAATTAGCTGAAAATATTTCATTTTTTAGGGGAAATAAAGTTCATAGAATAGTCCAAGGATTATATTACAGTAGACTAGTCCATAATCTGAGCCAAAGCCTAAAGGCTGAACTAGAACTGAACTGAACAAGAACTAAAATTGAACTAGAACTAAAACTGAAATAGAACTGAAAAAGTACCGAACTAGAACTGAACTGGAACTGAACTAGAACTGAACTAGAATTGAACTGGAACTGAACTAGAACTGAACTAGAACTGAACTAGAACTGACTAGAACTGAACTAGAACTGAACTAGAACTGAACTAGAACTGAACTAGAACTGAACTAGAACTGAACTAGAACTGAACTAGAACTGAACTAGAACTGAACTAGAACTGAACTAAACTGAACTAGAACTGAACTAGAACTGAACTAGAACTGAACTAGAACTGAACTAGAACTGAACTAGAACTGAACTAGAACTGAACTAGAACTGAACTAGAACTGAACTAGAACTGAACTAGAACTGAACAGACTGAACTAGAACTGAAGTAGAACTGAACTAGATCTGAACTAGATCTGAACTAGAACTGAACTAGAACTAAACTAGAACTGAACTAGAACTGAACTAGAACTAGAACTAGAACTAGAACTGAACTAGAACTGAATTAGAACTGAATTAGAACTGAACTAGAACTGAACTAGAACTGAACTAGAACTGAACTAGAACTGAACTAGAACTGAACTGGAACTGAACTGGAACTGAATTAGAACTGAACTAGAACTGAACTAGAATTGAACTAGATCTGAACTAGAACTGAACTAGAACTGAACTAGAACTAGAACTAGAACTGAACTAGAACTGAACTAGAACTGAACTAGAACTGAACTAGAACTGAACTAGAACTAGAACTGAACTAGAACTGAATTAGAACTGAACTAGAACTGAACTAGAACTGAACTAGAACTGAACTAGAACTGAACTGGAACTGAACTGGAACTGAATTAGAACTGAACTAGAACTGAACTAGAATTGAACTAGATCTGAACTAGAACTGAACTAGAACTGAACTAGAACTGAACTAGAACAGAACTAGAACTGAACTAGAACTGAACTAGAACTGAACTAGAACTGAACTAGAACTGAACTAGAACTGAACTAGAACTGAACTAAAACTGAACTAGAACTGAACTAGAACTAAACCAGAACTCAGCTAAAATTGAACTAAAACGTAACTATGGACTTTTTCCCCAAATAAAAGTACTTTGTAAATGACCTGTACTTAACTTAAAAGCAGCATTAGCTTATTGAAAAATAAACAAAGTAATTAATTCCTCAATTAATTAAAAACAATTAACAGCTGTTCAGTGGTAGCTGTTACAAAGTCTAACCACTTTTTAGTATTCTTATTTAACATTCTAAAATGGTAGACAAATAAAATTAACTTTTTTTATATTAAAACTTTATAAATATTAAATCAGCAATAAAATAATAAATCAAATAATTCCTTTCATTTTCTAGACAATTAAATGAATTCATTTGTTTATAGATTTTATTAAAAATTATTCTTCTGGTTTGATCTAATAAAAAATTCTAAACAGCAATTGTTTTAATGTTTAAAAAAAAAGTAAAGTTGTAATAAGAAACATGTGCGTTAAACTAAATAAATTTATAAACAAATTACGTCATTTATTTACAAATTTACGATAAGTACAATAACAATTGCTTTAACTACAACACTTGATAAATTAACTAGACAATCAGGAACGAAATGGTTTTAAAAATATTTATTACTAATTTTTTCGATAAACAAATACTTGAATTTTGAAAAAGCATAGAAATTTATTTGAGTTTCAAATACTCACTCGCACCCATTTATCTAGAGAGTACATGTTGTTCTAAGGTGTACAAATATTTGTTAAAAATTTGAAAAAAAAAAAAAAAATAAAATAAATAATTAGATTTTTTTTTTTAAACAAATTTGTACCCACAATCTTCAAGGTGATTTCAACATACAGCAACAATTATCTAATGAAATTAAAATAAAAATAATAATAAAATAAACAACTAAACGAAAATATTTATCTCAATACAATTGGTTCTATGGGGTAGATCGAAAAGTAGTGGCCACAAATTCAAACGAAATAGTTTAACGGAATTTTCTTTTAACCCAAGTGAGCTATAAAATTACAAAACTTTTCAAGAAAGTTTGGAATAAAAAAATGAATACTATTTTTAAACTATTTTAAAAATGAAATTAATTTTTAATGAGAATATTAGAAATGCTCGAAATCTCAAACGAATTCAATAACTTTATTGAAAACTTTACAACTATTTATCGGTTTAATTGAAATTTTTATAGTTTTTCATAATTCAATTAAAACTTTTTAATTATTAAAGTTTTATAATACAAAAAAAAAACTTTATTTTTAAATAAAAATTATGTTGTGCCAGAAGATATTTAATTTAATTACTTAATTCAAAATATTTTCAAAGTGAATTGAAGGTTAAACAGAAAGAATTAGCTTCCTTATAAAACAAAGTGTAAAAATATAACAGATTTTCTTAGATTGTATCTCCAAAAAGGAATATTTTAACCAAAAATATAATTTTCAATCTCTTTTTTTTTTTAAATTAAACTTTAGACAACTTCCCTAATGTTTTCCTTTTTTCCCCTCTTTTTACAGAGCTTCAGCTCCTATACCCGTTGCATCGTTTAGCGGTTCTGATAGTCCTATCTCTTCTTGCTCGCCCACTGAAAACTGCTACAAACACTTCAACATGAATAAACTCTGCCGTCAAGTGTCAATTGAATCGCCTGGACCACAGGTGAAAAATTGTGTTTTCAACTTTTTCGTACCCATTGAAGATACACCACCATGCGGTGCTCGCATTAAAATTGTATGTGCCGGTGCCTGCTATAGACGTCGTGATCGTTCGGCCTCCATAACCAGCATGTCATCGGTATCTTCGGATTTGAGTGATTATTGTCCACCGCCCGCCAGCTCATCACCAGCACATGCTGGTGTACGTGAGGGTTCATTTTTCCCCGGCTACGAAGTGGCCGGTGTTATTGAGTCGTTGGGCAGTGAGGTGACAGATAAGAATAATATGGGTTTGAAGATCGGACAGCGCGTCATTGTTTATCCCTTTGAGGAGGCACCTACTGGTTATGCTGAATTGATGGCTGTACCAGAATTGAAATATGTTGTACCCATTCCTGATGGTTTACCCATGCCGGTAGCAGCCATGTTGCCCACTGGTGCTCTCTTGGCCATGAATGCTGTCTTCAAGGCTCACGAAGTTGTAACACAGACTTTGAAAAACAAGAGTGCCGATGATCCGAATAAAAAATGTAAAATTTTAATAGTTGGCACTGGCGGTCTGGCATTGTGGGCTGTACGTCTTGCCGCCTATCATTTCGCAAATACAGGAGTGGATAGTTCAATTGAACTAACAGTTGCCAGTCTCAGAGATGAGGGCTTCCGTTTAGCAACAGAAATTAAGAAGTAAGTTTTAATAGTTTTAAACTAGAACTGATCTGCAACGGAACTACAACGGAACTACAACGGAACTAGAACAGACTAGAACAGAACTAGAACAGAACTAGAACAGAACTAGAACTGAACTAGAACTGAACTAGAACTGAACTAGAACTGAACTAGAACTGAACTAGAACTGAACTAGAACTGAACTAGAACTGAACTAGAACTGAACTAGAACTGAACTAGAACTGAACTAGAACTGAACTAGAACTGAACTAGAACTGAACTAGAACTGAACTAGAACTGAACTAGAACTGAACTAGAACTGAACTAGAACTGAACTAGAACTGAACTAGAACTGAACTAGAACTGAACTAGAACTGAACTAGAAACTGAACTAGAACTGAACTAGAACTGAACTAGAACTGAACTAGAACTGAACTAGAAACTGAACTAAGAACTGAACTAGAACTGAACTAGAACTGAACTAGACTGAACTAGAACTGAACTAGAACTGAACTAGAACTGAACTAGAACTGAACTAGAACTGAACTAGAACTGAACTAGAACTGAACTAGAACTGAACTAGAACTGACTAGAACTGAACTAGAACTGAACTAGAACTGAACTAGAACTGAACTAGAACTGAACTAGAACTGAAACTAGAACTGAACTAAAACTGAACTAGAACTGAACTAGAACTGAACTAGAACTGAACTAGAACTGAAATAGAACTGCAATAGAGAATGAAATAGAACTGAACGAGAGAACTGACTAGAACTGAACTAGAACTGAACTGACTGAACTAGAACTGAACTAGAACTGAACTAGAACTGAACTAGAACTGAACTAGAACTGAACTAGAACTGAACTAGAACTGAACTAGAAGAACTGAACTAGAACTGAACTAGAACTGAACTAGAACTGAACTAGAACTGAACTAGAACTTAACTAGAACTGAACTAGAACTGAACTAGAACTGAACTAGAACTGAACTAGAACTGAACTAGAACTGAACTAGAACTGAACTAGAACTGAACTAGAACTGAACTAGAACTGAACCAGAACTGAACTAGAACTCAACTGAACTAGAACTGAACAAGAACTGAACTAGAACTGAACTAGAACCGAACTAGAACTATAACTGAACCAAAACTGAACTAGAACTAAAACTCCCATAAAACTAGAACTAATCAAACTTTTCTTTCTTCTCTTACAGTGTCAGTGTTGTACAATGGAATGAATGCTTGTATGAACCTCAGTTGATTGAACGTACTAAAGATCTGTGCGGTGGTCCCGTCGATATTGTCATTGATTTTGGCACCACTTCACGCAGTCTTCATCGTTCCATGCATTGTCTCAATAAGGGCGGCGTTGTGCTCATTAGCGAGGATGTGGCTGAGAAATTAATGCCCAAATTTTCCAGACTCTCCATTGAGAACAATCAACAAATCATACCCATTTCTAGTGGTTCGGTTGAACAATTGCGTACATTGGTCGAGATAGTAGCGGATAAGAAAATTGAACCACCACCACATTCGGTATTTCCCTGTGAACAGGCTGCCGAAGTTATACAGAAATTGTGTAGTTCTGAAATACCTGGACGTGCTATCTTGCGTTTCCATGATATTGAATAATTTCCCAAAAATTTTAAACAGTTTCACCAACTAACATCAAAAAAAAAACCCAAATCATTTTTAGTATTACAAGCAACAAACAAAGAAAAACAAAAAGAAATGGAAATCTAATCAGGTCTAAACTAGTATTTTGGAAAAGTTTGTTTTAACATCATTATCTTGCTATTAACAGCAAATACTACATACATTTTTTTTATCATTAAACAAAACAAAAAAAAAACTCAGGCATCCATTTATAGTTGATGCCCAGTAAATGTCTATTTTATTGTTAATATTTGGACCGTAGAATTAAAAACAAAAATATTACAAAACAGGTCATCATATTAGATGTTGTACTACTCATAACTTAATAATTAAGTAATAATTTTCCTTATTATTTGTAAGTTTTATGCTCTGATCTTTGAATTTTATTTTTTAATTTAAGTTTGATTTAATCAAAAACACAAGTATTCTTTTCAACAAATATTGAGCTTAACTAATAAAGCAATTAATTGTTTTATGTTTTTTTTTATAAGCAAACTTACTTATACTTTATTACATATTTATTAATTTTTATTTTAATTAGTTATTTTAAGTTTTTAATGTTTATTTTAATTTTATTTTTTAATTTTATTTTTCATTTTTTTATAAAATATTAAATGCTATTGAAACATTGAATGTTTTTTTAAATTATATATAAATTACCAAAAACAAACATATAAATTTGTTAAATTGCTTAACTCTAATGTTATTTCACTTGGCTTAGATATCACTCAAACAAAAATATAAATTTAATAAAAATGATATAAAAGAAGAACAAATTCAATAATAATATACATACTAAATAAAAAGTTATTAAAAATAAAAATTTAATTATAATAATTGAAAATATAAATTGTTGTGTTTATTTAAAAGGAAAAGTTATTTCAAATTGGGGCCAACTAAAACTGAACTAGAACTGTATTAAAACTGCACTAGAACTGAATAAGAAATGAACTAGAACTGATTTAGGACTAGACTTAAAATGAACTAGAACTGAACTAGAATTGAACTAGAACTGAATTAGTACTGAACTACAACTGAACTAGAACTGAACTAGAACTGAACTAGAACTGAACTAGAACTGAACTAGAACTGAACTAGAACTGAACTAGAACTGAACTAGAACTGAACTAGAACTGAACTAGAACTGAACTAGAACTGAACTAGAACTGAACTGCAACTGAACTAGAACTAGAACTGAACTAGAACTGAACTAGAACAGAACTAGAACTGAACTAGAACTGAACTAGAACTGAACTAGAACTGAACTAGAACTGAACTAGAACTGAACTAGAACTGAACTAGAACTGAACTAGAACTGAACTAGAACTGAACCAGAACTGAACTAGAACTGAACTAGAACTGAACTAGAACTGAACTAGAACTGAACTGCAACTGAACTAGAACTAGAACTGAACTAGAACTGAACTAGAACTGAACTAGAACTGAACTAGAACTGAACTAGAACTGAACTAGAACTGAACCAGAACTGAACTAGAACTGAACAACAACTTTTTTTTAAATGTACGACGATAAGCTTTAAACTGTTTAGCCCCTTAACATTCGAATTTCCAAAAATCCCGTCTTTGTGGATCTATTTGGTGGGAGACCAACCTCCTGACCAAATTTCAGCACTTTAGCTTCAACCGTTTAGGCTGTGCGATGATGAATCAGTCAGTCAGTAACGTAAGAATTTTATATATATAGATTTCGTGCCTTGAATTATACTGTAAAAACATTGTAATGTTCGACCTGAATTCAAGTTTCCTTTTCACTGGAGAAAGCTATTGAATTAAAGTGTAATGAAAGTGTATTTCAACACTTGAAATTTGAGTGTTTGGCTGGAATTAAACTTGTTTTAAACTTTTATTCCAGCAAGAATGCTTATTGGGTATAGTGTGACAATTATAAGGGATCTAAAGTCGACATAAAGCCCCCACAATGGTTAGTACCAATATTTTGCCCAAACAACATCTACATACATATATAAGATGACAACCTAGCCAGTTTATATTCTCTAGGTCCGGGAAGACATTCTCTACAAAGCTATACAATTGTAAAATAGGCGGCTTAACAATTGTTTCTTGTAAATATTCGGCTACCATAGTGTTTGGAGACAACAAGAGCTTCACTGAAAGGCACACCAGACAGACATCGCGCTCTATTATGGGTGTATGGTAGTGATTCTGCTGAGATCAATGGTATAATAATAAGTATGTATCCTTGTGGTAACCCCTGGAAACGGCAATCAGCGGTGGTCCATTGCCTTTAGGTGATAATATACCATGTCGCCACTAGCCGACCGACCACCACTAGCCTAGGTGACTAGGGTAGTATGCAATTGCCACTCTCTTGTGGGCATTCTTCCAGGAGATCATCATGATGCCTCCTCTTTCTTAAAAAGAAAGACGTTTTTTAGAGACAAATAAATAATTAATTAACATTATTACTTACATTTTTTAATCTTCTAGATCTCACAAAAAGGCCAAATCAATCAATATTTTCAATATTTACACTTAAATACTTTTTCAATAAACAAATATGTTATTTTCAATAACAAAATTATATATATTTTATAACTTTTAGTTATGGACCCTGCTAGTGTTATCAGTTCGCTATGAATTTATGTCTCTGTAGAAGAAGAAGCTTTCATAATAAAAACAAACTTTCTTGTTGTGGAGAAACTATATAGATTTTTTTTATAAAAACTTAATTTTATTAATATAAAACTTAACGAAAAATGCCTCCAAAAGCTACACCAACTTGTATAGAGTGTAAAAAAACAGAATCCTTGCTGTGGCGTTCAGTGGAAAATGGTCAAATATGTCAGGCCTGCTTTGAACTACAAGAAGCTAAGGATGGTGAAAATGTTAAATCCCAGGAAGTCACTGAGGATAAGAAAACAAAGGGTAACAAAGATAAAGACACCAAAGAAGAGGTGAAAACAGATAAAAAAGAAATCACCAGCACCTTAGCGGAGGAACGGGGAGCACGCTTGAGAAAAAGTACCAGAGCTACACGCTTTAAGACGAAAATAAGTGCCAATCATGGTAACACAACAAATGGGAATGGAGAGAAAACGACCACAAGCAGCAGTGGAAAACAACAAACAAAAGGACGTAATCGAAGAAGTTTATTCAAGAGGATACCCTTTAAGACGCCATTAGCACAGGCCACTACCCACTCAGTGGAGAGTATATTTCATAAGGTTTTTATAAATTTTGGTTTGTAAGTAATAGAAAGGCACTAAGAAATGTGTGTTTATGATTTTAGGGTTCATATTTACAAGTGGGTGATATAGTGTCATTAGTGGATAACGAGGATAATGTGTATTATGCCCAAATAAGAGGTTTGTTAATAGATAACTATTGCGAAAAGTCGGCGTTTCTTACTTGGCTCATACCCACTCAAGAAAGTCCCGATCCCAAGGAAGGTTTTGATGCTGCTACATATTTAATAGGCAAGTAAGAAGGTAAATGTTAATGTTTTTAAACTAACATGTATGTATGTCATGTCATTTTAGGACCTGACGAAGAATTGTCTCGTAAATTATCCTGCTTGGAATTTGTTATGCATGCTCCTAGCAACTATTATTTGGACCGCTCTACCCCCTATCCACTGCCAGATAGTATGGAATATGACACCAAACCAGGTGGCTATATATGGACTACCCTACCGGAATATCATAGAAATAAAACAGCAGTGGAGGCGTAAAAACACATAAAATTACAATTTATTTTAAATTAATACAATAAAAACATATAAAAAACCAAATAGGACTACAATTTCTAATAAATAGTTGGAATACAAAAAAAGTAATAATTACATCTAAAGAAAATTATCAGAAATAGGTATAAAATCTTAAAACAATTCTTTGTGCTGCCACACTTAACTTTCATTTAAATTGTAATCAATGTCAGGCTTAGATTGGCGTGCTTTGCGACTACGACCACGTGAGGTATGAGGCTCTTCCGTTTCATTATGGTTAGTGGAAGCTTTATTCGCAGTTTTACGTCCTGTGGTAGTTTTCTTTACAATATGTGGCACAATTTCCTCTTCTATAACAATATTACTAGCAGCCGGTATAGATCTGCCAGTTGTATAAGGATTATTATTGGCCAACAAACCCAATATACCGTTGGGAAAGTTTTTATTAATAACACTCATTACTGCTCTGCCAATACACAGCACAGCTTCTCGCATATAGTGCAAAATCAAATCCTGACCTTTTTCTCTAACTTGTTCCAAATGATGATCAACACGTGTCTCATGTTTCTTGAGCAAAGGATGTATACAACTTTTATATATAAATGAACTGCCATTGCCCATAGTGGGCAATAACCAGAGTATTAAAACAACTTTAATTTCATAATAAAATGGAAACCAAGTTAAAAATATATCCGTAAAATTTTCGGCTGTGGTAAAAATGGCAAAAACAATCCAATACATCATCCATTTTACATAGTCCTCGACAATTTTGGCGCGCACCGTTTTAAATGAAATATAACCGGGATACAAAGTGCCACAGGTAAGTACACAAATACGGGAAAATAATATATTTATCATTTTTAATTATTTATTTATTTTAATTAAAATATAATGTTGGAGTTGGTAGTGCCGTTAACTGCGAAGGATTAATAATGAAACAAAATGATAAACATTTTTAGAAATTTCATACACAAAGAAAAATTAACAGAATTTTAAAACCATGGAGTTAACATTTTTGCAAACATAGCTGTTAATAACATGACAGGGTTTGGAAATAAACAAAATTCACTTATTTTCAGGGAAAAGAAATTCACATATAAAAAGATAATTTTTGGAAATTTTCCATAAATCTGGAAGTTTACCTTATAAAAAGAGTATTTTTGAAAATTTTTATATTAAAAGAGAATTTTTCACAAAAAATAAGATTTTATCAAAAAATTTTATCAAAAGACAATTTTTCGAAAATTATAAATGTTCAACGGATTTCCGTAAAATATATATTTTTTTATCAAAAATTCAGAAATATCGTAAAAAGACGATTTTGAAAATTTTCTATAAAAATAAGAAGTTTTTAAAAATTTTTTATAAAAGTTTAAAAAGTTTTCTAAATAAAAAGATACATTTGCGCAAAGACGATATTGAAAAACGAATTTTAAGAGTCGACCTTTTTATCAGGAAGCTGTCGTAAGTCGACTTTTTGTGTTTCATGTAGAACACTACATTTTTTATACAAATTAATAGACAGTAAAATCAAACTAAAACGAACATCAATCTTTTTGAAATGTTTTTAGTATTAAGCTTGAAAACTGCTGGATCTAGTAGAGCTGCCTCCTCCAAATTACTTTTAAGATTTTTTTATGCAAATTGCACTCCCCTAATATATAAATTTCTCATAAACCAACTTTTAAGAAAGAAAATTACTTTCGAAATAAATATTGTAAAAATTTTGACCTCGAGGAAGTTTTTTAAACCAATGTTTTTGAAGTTTAGTTTCACTAAAATATTCTCCCTAATATCCAATAATTCATTATAACCTTGTTTTACTGTATCATTATTTTGTTTTGTCTTGATAACAACTACTACTGACAACACAACTACTGTGATGATAAACAATAATAATTTAGTTAATAGGGTTAAAGTAATTGATAAATAATCTTAATTCAGTTATTCAACTAAAATAACGCAAGAATGCCTAAATTATCTGCAGAATTACTAAAAGTTTTCGTCTATGGAACACTCAAACGTGGTGAACCCAATCATCATTGGTTGACGCGTAATGAAAATGGTTTTGCACGTTTTGTGGGTGAAGGTACAACAGTGGAAAGATTTCCCCTCGTTATTGGTACCCGTTACAATATACCCTTCCTATTGGATAAACGTGGCCATGGTCACAATATTAAAGGAGAAATTTACGAGGTCGATGAGAAAATGTTCGCAAATTTAGATATTTTAGAAGATTATCCCGTGTACTATGATCGGGAAATACAAACTATAACGTTGAATAATAATGAGTGAGTTTGGTTGAGTTTACATTTAGTGGTGATAGTTTTTGTGCTAACTTTTAATGTTTCTTTCTTTTAAGGCAGGTACAATGTTGGTTGTATTTGATTCGCAACTTTCCCGAAAAACTTTTGCAGAAAGATTATTTAACAGCATATCACAATACCAAAGAGCAGCCATATAGAGAAAGGTCTGAACGTGATATGAATATTAAAGCTAGTGATGATATGTCATATTAAAAGTATGAAAATTATTGTGCAGCAATCACCCGATGACAACAGGTGCTTTATTGTGCAAAGATATTCATACAATTATATACTTATTTAAAATCATACTTCATTTCCATAGTTGCGAGAAGATTTATGTATTTCTTAGGCAGACCACATTTTCGTTTAGAATTCAATTTACCTAAGAAAATGCTGTTTTCTTTAGGAAGTCTTCATTTTTGTTAAGAAAATGGAATTTTTTTTTAAGAAAAGACCTTCCTTAAAGAAGTTTTGCCTTTAGGATATAGAAAATTTTAGACTCTATACTATATAGGACGGTGTTTAGCCTCGACTATAGATCAGTCTACAGTTTAAACTGTAGAGTAGTTCATAGACTATTCTATAGTCTATACTATAGATCAGTCTGTAGTCTATACAATAGATCAGTCTATAGTCTATACAATAGATCAGTCTGTAGTCTACACTATAGATCAGTCTATACTCTACTATAGATCAGTCCATAGTCTGTACTATATATCAGCCCATAGTCTATACAATTGGTCAGTCTAGACAATACATCAGTCTATATTTCAGGATATACAAAAGTTTAGACTCCAAACTATAAAGGACGGTATATAGACTCGACTAAAGATCAGTCTACAGTTTAGACTGTAGACTAGTCCATAGACTATTCTATAGTCTATACTTTAGATCACTCTATACTACTATAAATGAGTCTGTAGTCTATGCTATAGATCAGTCAATAGTCTATACTATAGATTAGTCTATAGTCTATACTAGATCATTCTATAGTTTATACTATAAATCAGTCTGTAGACTATGCTATAGATCAGTCTATACTATACTATATATTATATATAGATCAGTCAAAAGTCTTTACTATAGATTAGTCTATAGTCTAACTATAGGTTAGTGAATACTATAGATCAGTCAATAGCCTATACTATAGATCAGTCTATAGTCTACATTATAGATCAGTCTATAGTCTATACAATAGATCAGTCTGTAGTCTATACTATAGATCAGTCTATACTCTACTATAGATCAGTCTATAGTCTATACTATATATCAGCCCATAGTCTATACAATTGGTCAGTCTAGACAATAGATCAGTTTATAGTTCAGGATATAGAAAAGTTTAGACTCCAAACTATATAGGACGGTGTATAGACTCGACTTAAGATCAGTCTACAGTTTAGACTGTAGACTAGTCCATAGACTATTCTATAGTCTATACTTTAGACCACTCTATACTACTATAAATGAGTCTGTAGTCTATGCTATAGATCAGTCTATACTATAGGTCAGTCTATATACTAAATAGATCAGTCAATAGTCTATACTATAGATTAGTCTATAGTCTTACTATAGGTTAGTCTGTAGCCAACAGTGAATACTATATAGTCTATATTACTATACTATAGATCAGTCTATAGTCTACACTATAGATCAGTCTATAGTCTACACTATAGATCAGTCTATAGTCTACACTATAGATCAATCTATAGTCTACACTATAGATCAGTCTATAGTCTACACTATAGATCAGTCTATAGTCTACACTATAGATCAATCTATAGTTTAGACTATAGATCAGTTTATGTATATTATTAAGAAATTCGTAATCGATTCTTAACCATTGGACGGACACTATAAAATATCAATACCGAAAATTCTAAATTATCTCATCACTTTCTTAAATCAAAAACAAAATAATTAAAATCCTATTTTAAAAATGTTACAGTTATTTGGACAGCTGCAAAGATGACATGTATGAAGATGAAGAAGCTCCGCCTAAACCCTGAACTCTATGAAATTGTTATTCTCGTTGATTAAGTAAAAAAAAATTGCAATTCCATTAAATCAATGTTTATTAAACATTTTTGTTTACATTTAAACAACTTTTGTTACTATTTGTTTAGTATTTTTTGCTTAATATGTTGCTTGTTTTCTTTTTACGTTTCCATTTATTTACCCGTTTTTTTCATTTATGTTATTCCATCATTTTTTAAAATAATACAAATAAGAAATAGTTATAATAGTTTTTTTAAAAAAGCGGGCTTTTTGTATTCATGTTTACACGGTGAGAAAAAAAAAAGATGTTTAACAAAGAAAAACTGTTATTTAGCTTTTTTTAAAATCAATCAACATAATTTGCAAAAGAAAAAATGTTTTAAATTTTAGCAGAAAATAAAACAATATAAGGTTTTTATAAAAATAAAAACATAGTTTTTTTACTTGAGGGCGGAACAAAAGGGGAAGGACAATTGTTTTAAATAATTAAAAAATATTTATGAAGGTATTTATATAAAAATGCATAAATTAAAATAAACCATAGTAGTTTGATTTTTTGTAAAAAAAGGATGTTTTTAAAGAAAATTTCATATTACATAACACTACCTCCTCTTCGCTATTGGCAGGGGCAGTTTAAGGCTTACGCCAACAGGAAGAGGAGGAAATGTGTGAGTGTATGTTTCTTGTTGTTTTTTGTAATAGATATTTGCAGAATAAGAAAATATATCTGTTAAGAAGTTTAAACGAGTTTAAACGTTGGAGTCTTTGCCAAATGTTAATGACTGCTCTTTTTTTATTATTATTATTAATTAACACCCGGCCGGCCACTCTTTATTTTGTTTGTTTTATTTTGTTTAAGAATGATTATGTTTATTTAAAAGGTCTAGCTTTCAGTTTCGTCCAGCGATTGGAAACGATTAGTGGCAGCACTTGGGGCTACAGTTTGTTCCTTAACTCTTTGCACACGCATGCCATGGCGAACTTCTTCAAATGCAGGTTCATTTTTCTTTTTCCGTTGCTCTTCGGGACGAGCAGCACCCAAGGTGGGGAAGAAATCGGCATTGGTAATATCAGGGGCAGCCTTATTGCGTAGTTTAGGTTTCAAGCCGGGACCTAAACCTTGTTGCTGTAAAGAGATGAATAAAGTTGCGATATTATTTATGATGGTTTAGTTGTTAAAGAATGTTATTTATTGAATTCTCAAAAGAAATTCGGAATATTTCTACAAGCAAGTCCTGTATATCTTCAAAACTATTACAAACTAATAAATGACTTTTCATTAGATTAGTTCCGTTGGATTAACTAACTATTTTCTAACGATTGACTACCTCTCGGACTCCTTTTACGATACCTGATTATTTTGCTACCTGTTTAACAACAGTGACTAAAAGAGATAAATCTTTATAAAACGTTTGGTATACATCCTAGGGAGGAAATCGTTAAAATGCTTTGACCTTGAGTCTATTTATAACAAAATCTCACAACTAATTTAGTAAATAAACATTTCATTGAAATATTTCGTTATACTTACAGCTGCTCTTAAAGCTGGCGACACATAAACTTTCGAAACTGGCTTAGGCATTTCCATAGGTATTTGTGTTACCTCCTCGGCAGGTATGACCTTCTTCCATGGCCCACCACCGCTACGCTTTGAAGATTCATTATTTTGATTGCCATCACTTTCGCCATCGTCTTCTTGACCTTCGGAGTCAGTCTCTTCTTCATCATCGTTTAAGGTCAATTGGCCAATTTTAAGACCGGAATAATCTTTGCGCTGTTCCTCCTCAATTTCTTTCCATTCATCCTCAACCTGCTGAAAAATTGAAAAAACCGGAATGCATAAAATATTATTGAATAATTTCTTTTTTATTTTGCCAGCGTGTCTTTGTTTTCATTGTAGCACTAAATCTTTCTTTCATTTTTTTTTTTTTTTCAATTACAAACAAAACAAAACCACTGCATCATACATTACTCACTTGTTCTTTTGGTTTATCCTCAACAGTCTCGCCGACAGTTGTTACGGCTGGCGCTACTACTGTTGGTTCAGGTTTTTTCGCTTTTGCTACTTCGCGCTTTGTTTCTTCCAAGTTCTTTACCAATTCTTCGGCCGTAAGAAATTTTGGTTTCTTCGACTTTTTCTTGTCTTTCTTGGCAAAGAAATCATCTAAATCGGCCATGTTGCTAGCAAAGGTTTTGTTGTTACGGAGACGGATCGTCTGCAAGTTGTAGAAGTTATATTTAATTAATTTTTATTAAATTTAATTCTTGAATGCAAAAAATATTTAGCATGCGGAAATTTCTTTTTTTACACATTTTTCTTACCCAGAAAACTTAAAAAGTACCAGTTGAAGACAGAGGGCGAAGTCGACCGGCTTCGAGTCGGCGCTTAGTCGCCGCCGAACAATCTTCAGTTGCTTGAGACGCCGCCGAAACAGGCGGCTTAAGTCGACTAACATTTTTTAAAGTTTTTATATGGTTATGTGAGACCAATTACTTTCGGAATCATTACGAAATCGATATTCGTTCTCTGTAACAAAATTATATTTTGAAAACGTACACGATTTTCACAAAGGATATATGTAACAAGCGATATTTTATAATTTTCAATACATTAGGGAGGAAAAATAAGGTGTCGATGTTCCCGACTAAAATTAAATTTTAATTGATTCTAAGATTCCGTTTCTCAAAATTTTTGTCCTGAGGTCAATATTTGGTGAGCTGAAAGGTCCTTGAGAGACGTTTACAATGGCATATCAGAAATTTTTGGGTAACAGTAAAAGTAATCGGAATTTTTAAATTTTTCGTAAAATTTTCAGATTTTTTGCATTTTAACACAGATGAGTTTAATATAATTCGTTGAAATTAATACATAATAATCCTCAATAAAATTTACCGAAACGCTTTTTTTCCGTTTTTCCAAATTCAATCTAAATCGTACGACACCAAAGACTATATTTGGATACCTTTTTTATAAATCAATTATTATTAATATTTTAAGCAAAGAGACTAGATTCTCTCAATCTTTTATTTTTGATAATTTTTGTTCTTTTTGAGCATACATTTAAGAATTTAAATTTTCTTAAAAACGTTCGGCTCTGAGCCGACTGCTAGCCGCCGCCGAATTTTTTTTAGCTCAGCCGCCGCCGCCGACAATTTTAAGTCGACTTCGCCCTCTGGTTGAAGAACGAAAAACTACCAAAAGGTCAATATTAAAATTCAAAAAGTACCTTTTAGTACCTTTTTAGTAGCGAAAAATCCCATTTTATAAGTTCTCATTTAAGGTAGGATTACCCAACCGCAACGTACTGTAACCGTAAGAAAACGTGTCAGCTGATTTGATTAAGGAAATGCAATGAAAATGCTTACCGAAATGTAGCCGTAACGTTTCAACCTGTATAAAATAGAATTTTATAACGTTGTTACGTGACATTTTTAGAACAGTGATGGCACTTTTGTATGTAGAATAGAACTGTGGCACAAATTCCCTTTTTTCTTACTTTTTTTTAATTGTATGTACAAATTTGAATTTTTATATTATTATGCATAAATTTAATAAAATTGTTTAGCTTTTAAATTTTTAGGTTGCATATGTGATGTTAGTAATTTGTATACATAAAATTTTATAGAAAATACATTAATAACATATCAAACTCTAAGAAATCATAGTTAGACTGTTCAAAAAACCTTCTAATTGTAGAAGCAGGCGTAAGTCAAACGTTCTAATTCAGTTAATTCCAAGAAAAAAATATACATGATTAAAATATTTCTCCTGGAGTTAGAGGTCTCCAAAATGTTGATATATAATTGATTATATCTTGATTAATTATATATATATATATATATATATATATATATATATATATATATATATATATATATATATATATATATATATATATATATATATATATATATGATCGATATAGGTATCAATAATAAGGTCTTTGAAATATCATTTGATTGATATATAATATGACATAAATTATTAACCCATTGAGAGCCAGGTAAAAAATCGCGCGATTGAGATGAGATAGGCCTCTCAATCATATATCACATGGAAGCCCAACATGTTGTCTACAAAATTTGATGTGATATGAAGAACCGTTATATCGATATATTTTTGAGATAACTATGCTTTTGTAAAAAAGTCAATATCAGAAAACATTTGACTTTTGGTCTCAATGGGTTAAAGATATATGTAATATTCTATATCGATCGATAGATAGATATTTCTGAGACCTTTCTATTGATACCCATGTTGACAATATATAATAATTAGTAGCCGAGACATATTCAATTATATATCACAACTTTGAAAGCCTATAACTCCTGCACCTGAATAGAGAAGATAAATATTTTTCCACTTTTATACTCAGAGGAAGAAGTGCTATCATATGGTGTATTCAACAGGAATAGAACGCTTGATGAGTTAAACGTTTTTACTTATATATATTTTTTTTTAATTTTGGTACCTTTTCTACTTAAACATTTTAAAGAAAGTGCCTCTCAATAACCATCACTGTTTCGAACAGCTGATTGAATATTTATTGTACTTTATTTTTGTTTTTTATAGATGTTGAATTTTTTTTTTAAATACATAAAATATTCTTAAGAAAATAACAAAATAAGCAAATTATTGCGAATTAATTTAACATTTATATTAAAAAACGTCTGAAAACTTCAATTATTTTGTGTTTATTTTCAAAACAAGTGTTACGTTTTTAAATGTTCTATAATTGAACAAACGTGCTAACAGTACGTTACGTTACAGTACGTGGGCAGCAACGTTCGGGTAATTCTACCTTTACTCCGTGCTTAATTTCATGTTTCTAGGTTTAATTTTAAAGAAAACTCAAAAAAGTACCAGTGAAGAACGAAAATGTACCTAAAAGTATCTTTATTATTATATTCATGTTTCGATTTTAATATCATAGAAAACTCAAAAAGTACCAGTTGAAGAACGAAAAAGTACTAAAAATATCACTTGCTACCGGGGTTTCAAATAACTCCCTATTAGCATATTTAGTGTTTCTAAATCTAAAAATGTTATCTAAATTGACTCATTGTGTTTGAATAAAATCAAATTTCCCGTTTTTACCTCCTTTTGGTACTTTTTCCTCCCCATTAACGAAATAAAAATTGTATTCCAAAAAGTTGCAACATCATAGTGGGATCCCGTTATTATGTATTCATCATTCATACTACATATATGTAAGTTAATAAACCAAAAACAATGTTTTATGAAAAAGGGTACAATTTTCATCCCTTAAACGTCCGAATATTCAAAAAGTAATCAATTCATATTTTTATTTTTTCATTAAGTTATGAAGGAGTCAAAAATAAAAGATACATGAGATGCAAAAAATGTACCAAAATACAGCTTTTACCT